AGAGGGGGTGGTTTAGAGAACAGAATCACATTTACACCCCAGATTCAGTCGATCAGCAAAGACGTGTGTGAGGTCTCCCATATGGAAATCTGACATATGGCCATATATGCACATATATCATAAAGGGTCAGGCATATATTTCAAAATATATGCTAAAAATATCTAAGTATCAGATATTGGACATACATGCATAATACATGGTTCTTATATGTATATACATGTCTGACATATGGTTGAATACATACCAGTATAGTTATAATCGTTACTATATTATCTGTTCGCTTTAATATTAAATTATCTAAATGCATCATTTTCATTTATTTCATGTTTTAATGGTTTTATTGCATAGCTGACAATGTGCATGTTTTAGAGTTTAGTTATGTAGCTATTATGCTAATTTTCACTTCATTAGGATGTGTGTGAAAGAAACAAAGATGCATAAAACCTTATATAATATAACATGAAGCTAGTATGTATAAGTAGTATATGCCATCTCTATATGAATAACGTTTTCTATTATATACTGTTAAATATATAAGTTTGCATATTTTGATATATGGCTGAAATATATGCCCCATATTTGAAATTGGCCAATAAGTGTCCATATGTGACAAATATAAGTTAACAATCAAAATAAATCAATATATGATATGTCATATGTTTATAATCCGTGTATTGCCATAAGTCAGATTTCCATATGGGCAGTTTGCTTCTTTAGTTTTAGCACTGGAGCTGCGAGGCTAATGTAGCTAACAAGTAATGACACCTTATGTATAGGCTAATAATTAGCACTAACTAGGCAGTCCATCTGTTTCTCTGCATACTTTGTCACCCTCACAGGACCCTCACAGAGCAGGTACTGTTTGGGTGGTGGATCATTCTCAGCACTGCAGTAACACTGACGTGGTGGTGGTGTGTTAGTGTGTGTTGCGCTGGTCTGAGTGGATCAGACACAGCAGTGCTGCTGGAGTTTTTAAACACCTCAGTGTCACTGCTGGACTAAGAATAGTCCACCAACCAAAAATATGGGTGTCCTGTGACCACTGATGAAGGACTAGAGGATGACCAACACAAACTGTGCAGCAGCAGATGAGCTATCGTCTCTGACTTTACATCTACAAGGTGGACCGACAAGGTAGGAGTGTCTAATAGAGTGGACAGTGAGTGGACACAGTGTTTAAAAACTCCAGCGGCACTGCTGTGACTGATCCACTCATACCAGCACAACACACACTAACACACCACCACCACGTCAGGGTTACTGCAGTGCTGAGAATGATCCACCACCCAAATAGTACCTGAAAGAAACAAGGAGGTGGTTATAATGTTATGCCTGATCGGTTTAGATGTCCCATATTTAAAAATGGCCAATTTTGCAGAGAGGCTACGAGGCTAATGCAGCTAACACATACTGGAATTTTATGTATAGACAATGATAAAACAGCAGACTGTGCTCAGCTAGGCTCTTCAAAGACAGCGCCATCTCCTGGTTATTTTGTTTTTACGTAAAACTATTTTGTCTTTGTTCTTGTTGCAATGAACTTTATAGTTTTGATTTAGTTTGGCTAACAGTAATAGCCCTGATTTAGGTATGCTGTTTGCCCAAAGCTAATTGGTGGGGTATAAGCTTCCAGCACCTGTTAGCTAATTGCTAAAAATTAGCATCATAGATCCAGTGCTAAAACTAAAGAAGCAGACATCTTAGCTGATTGACTACTTTTGGGGTGCTGGGGGGAAAACTGGGGGATCTTTCTCTGAACTACCGCTTTAATATCATGCTTCACTGTGGTGGATGGGTGTGTATGTGTATGTGTGTTTGTGTGTTTGTGTGTGTGTGTTTGTGTGTGTTTGAGTGAGGCTCCAGCTCATACAGACTAATAAAGACGATGTACTGCACACACAGTGAATTATTTATGCCGTGTTTATGGAGCACACGCTGTAGAGCTCAAACGAAGCTCAGATTTACATCCAGCTTTTCTTTATGTGTTCCACGCTGCTCTTTGTGATCATTTACACTGAAGTACCAGAGCAGAGACTCTGTATCTATGTGTTCATTTGTTTACTGTTTGTTTTCTGTGTTGTCCATTTTCTCTATTTGTCATTTCACTCAGACGAATTACTCACAAATGCAGGCCAGGCCAATACAGTGAATCTGATTCTGAATTAGAATGAAACCATATTACACGCTACACTCTTAAAAAGGATGGCTCTTCAAGGGTTTTTTAGTAAAAACAATAGGTCTGTGTAGAACAATGAACACCCAGACCAATTTGCGTAATTAAATGGTTCTATGCATGGTGAAATGGTTCTTTAAATTGATGGAAACTCTGGTTGAAAATGGTTCTATAAAGCACCAAAAAGGGTTCTTTTATCGTATACAAGCTTGACATTGTAACAACAGAAGAATGCTTTTTGGTGTAGAACCATATACAGCACATTCTTCATCAATCTGAAGAACCATTTCACCATGCAGAGAACCACTGTAGCATGCACATAGTTCTTGGAGTGTTCATTGCTCTATTTAGAACTACTGTCTTTACTAAAGAACCCATGAAGAATCATCTTTTTTAGAGTGTAGGACTATTCAATATATCATTTGTCATGATACTGGCTTTCACTCAGGATGCAATGATACACAAAATGATACACAAAATTCAGTTCGATTACGTGGTGCTTCTATATGATGCATTTTTGGTGCAATAAAAACAAGAAGTGCCTGAATATGTGGCTTGTGCTTATATGTTACTGCTAATATGGTAATGTTTGCACCATGCATACAGCTTATTTGAATGCAGTGATGCACATATTTTCAGATTTAATATGATTATCCATACTGAGATCAAGAATCAATATGATTTTCCATATTTTACTTTTTTAAAATGTTAATAATAATTCTACAGAGCTGTGTTCTCTTCTACACAGGCTGGTTTGGGCCAGATAAATAAAAGCTACTGAACTACAAAATAATGCATGACTTCAGGGGTCAACAAGGACCATAATTTTCCTTACTTTTTTGTAATAAAATATCATAAAACATTGTAAAAGTGTCAAAATATACTGTTCACCCTTCCATACAGTTCTTATGGAAACTAAACTGCAAAAAACAGCCCATTTTTACTTTATTGTTTTTGTGATGTCACAAAAACCAACACATTAACATATATCCACCTATTCAGCCTACGGCAGTTTAGCCCCGCCCACTCACACTGAAGTTATAAGGAGTGTTCCAGGCCAATCAGAACACAGCTCATTTACATACACCAGTCTCAAAGGCCCAGTAACAAAAACATCCTGTTGAAGTCTAAGGGATGAAGACTTGTTTAAAAATGGTCATTTACAAATGAATTCTTTCTGTTTTTGGTACACAAACAACCCCAACATCAGAAGTGGACTTGGAAAGTGTAGAATGGGCCCTTTAATCTGAGGAAAAAGATTCATTTCAAAATATACGAAGCGGAAAAAACTGCCATATTGACCAACACAGCACTAGACCGGCTAAACATGTGCTTTAGATGTGCAGTGGACTGTATTCGTAACTCAGCCTGTAATGTGAACCACCCGGGCTTGTTTTCATTAGATGATTAGATTTGTGCGTTTAGAAAGCTATCTGTATGTAATCATGTCCTGGAATGGTTGTGCTGATCATGAATATGGACCAAAACTGAGCCAAACGTATCTGGATCCGTTTTTCCCCAGTTTGGACTTCAAGGAACAGATCAGGGCCTGTTGTTCTGGAAAGCATTCGCAATGCTGAGATTATTTTAAGTGCAGGAGCTCCATGACATTCACTCTAACGTTTAACTATCACTTTTGTGCTACAACAATTTAGTATTTTAAATCAAATTGAAAATTTCTATATATATATATATATATATATATATATATATATATATATATATATATATATATATTTAATGTTCCCTCAAAGGTACGACAGTGGTTTTAAGGTCTGATTGAGAACCTTAAATAAGTTTTTCCAGGTGAAAAGTTAGTATTTGTACCTTTTCATAACCGAATGTTTTAAAACAGAACAGTAAAATAAAAGCCTGGAGACGAGACGGGGTGTGTGGAGTCAGTACAGCTTAGAACATATCATTTCAGTGGATTATGGTTCAGTTGTGTTCCCTGACTAAAGGTACTGAGATGACCCCTTGAGGGTTCCACCCCAGTGACAGTCTAGTACCTTTATTTCGAAATATATATATTTTGCCCAGTTAAAAAGATAAAAATTCCAAAAAAATATTTTTTTTTTCCTTCTTTGCTGTCCTTCTGGCAGCTTTATGTCAAAATTTTGACCCTGTTATACTGAAGATTTGACTTTTCATCTCAAAAGAATGCCTTATTTCTTTTAAATAATGACTAATGTTAAAAACAATGAAATGTTTGTTTCATATCTCCAAATGATTACTATCTTTTCTATCTTTTCTCATATAACCCATTATTATGACAGTGTATAATAAGACAAACTTGAGATAATAAATCAAAATGAGCCATTATTTCAACATAAGTGCAAAATTTCACATTAAAATGTCAAGAAAACAAGGATTTTCTTCAGAATTATAAGAAAGGCACTATTTTGAGATAAAACAATAAAACTATTAAACTTATTTATTTATTTATGAAGTGGAAAATTGTCATGTATAAATGAGTTACGGCTGAGTTTGGTGGACAAATCTACACCAACACCAGAAGTAAACGTCAAGAGAAACAAATGTAGGATATGGGCCCTTTAATCTGGGGGAAAAACTTCATTCCAAAATAAATGAAGGGAAAAACTGCCATTCTGACCAACACCGTACTTGCGGTAAACTGAGAAGGAGAAATAAACAGAGCTGTTTTCTTCCGCCTGGCTGAAACGGCTTCCCTGTAAACATCAGCTGAACTTGGATAATTAAACAATTAATTGGCTGTGACGTCAGTTAACGAAGTTAAGGACAAACAGGTGAGGCTCCCCCACTCTTAACGATAAATAGCGCACCCAGAGGAGACGCTGAGAACTTTAAGAGGCGTTTTAGTCCGAGTCTTCTTGGTTTTTTTTTATAGTCTTCGAGTGTTTAAAGATGGGTCCTAAAAAGGCAGCTGCTGAAACTAAACTTAGCTCTCCTCCAGCTCGAAGCCCCGAGACGAAAACGAGCGAGGAAACCAACGCAGGTCTGGACGCTAAACTGCTGCAGCGCTGACTTAAATTCAGCTTTTACGTTTGGAATTTTCCGTTCCACCTTAAATGGTGTGTGAACGTAACGTTAACCGCTGCAGCATTTAAGGTAGAACGGAACTCTGGAAGAGAGGTTATGAGTATCCGTCAGTTTATGCTCGAATTTTCCCGTTCCACCTTAAATGGTGGCGCCGTTAACGCTGCACCATTTAAGGTGGAACGGGAAAATTCGAACAAGATGGCGCATGAAAGGCCATCTTCACTCTCGCTTTAAATGAGCGGTTTGAGGGGATATTAATCATTTTATTAATCATTAATCACTTATGAACGTATTTCCGATTGTTTTTAAACGTTGATCAGCTTTGATGTTAATAGTGTAAGTAGTAAATGGCTGTTAGCATCGTGCTACACGTTGAAATGACTGCACACCTTGTTCAGGCTGTGAGATTTGGTTTATATGTACCATAAAATGGTAGATTAAGTCTGTATTTGAAGTATTGGAGATGAAATATGGGTTGTTTTGAACAGAAGGTGTGGGTTCAGTGTGGCTCCACTGCAGTTGTCACTCCTTTGATTACTTATTTGAGGAATAGTGAGGCCTGTGGTTTAGGAAGCTACCTGTGAGGTTTATTTCTGTGATTTGGGCCCAGTCCCATTTCACCCCTTTGCCCCTACCACTTAGCCCTCTGTTTTGCATGTTCATGTCTAAGGTTAGGGTGTCCCAATTATTTGTTGAGAGAGAGAGGGGTAGGGTGAAGTGTGAGGGCTACATGGTAGTACCGTTCCACCTTAAATAGTCCAGCAGTCCTGATGCCTGAAGCTCCAGAATGTAACTGCTGCACCATTTAAGGTGGAATGGGAAAATTCAAACAAGAAGCTGGTTAATATCTTACTTCAGCTTCGTATCACCAAAGAATTAGTGGTGGGGAGTCAAATAATTTGTATACCCCCGCTTTGAAGATCATATGATGCTGTAATGCTCTTTTTGAGGGTCCCATTTCAGAGGGAAGATTTCAACCACTACCCTTTGTAACTCTGTTCCAAGGGGTTAGGGTGACACTCGAAAACTAGGGATAAACAGAAGAAATGGGACTGGGCCTTGGTGTTGTAGTGAAGCCATCAGCTATGGATTTTTCTTGATACTGACTGGTGCTAAGCTTCCATTGTTTTAGCTAATTAGTAGCACCAGCAAATGAGTTCTGTTGCTTCTAGTGACTGGTGGAAGGGTGCATGCAGGGTGCTGTGAGGCAAAATGGTCCCCAAAGAACTTACCAGATTTTCCCTTATTTTATCCATAAGTTCCATATAGAACTCAGACATGGGTTCACTGGTGGTTTTGGATACATACAATGTCTTTGTAGTCATGGTGACCCCTGGTTCCCATCACCACCACTGCAAAGACAACAACCATTTCACACGACACCACTCTGACTGTTTACGTCTCAATGTCATAATTATTCAGCAATCTTGAAAAATTAGTGGAACTCCCCTTGAAGTTGTACTTTTTTTGAGAATGAGTCTGCATTTGGGTCTAGCCTTGGTCCTGTCATTAAGAGCTAGAGCCTTTCATTATTTTTCATATTAATATTAGCAGAATTGTCTTTCCTTCTAGCTTTCATTTTGTGAAATGAGTGCTTCCGAAGTACAAAATAAGCCGTAAGAGGTTAACAGTGGTCACCAACCCTGGTTCTGGAGAGCTTCCTGTCTGCAGAGTGTAGTTTCAACCCCAGTCCGCAAGACCTGCTCCAGATAATTAACTACTGCAGAGTAGCTGGCTGGATCAGATGAGTTAGTGCTGGGTAGGGAGGTGGCAGGATGGTGGATGTAGGGTGGAACTAAACTCTGTAGGGTTATAGATCTCCAGAAGGAGGACTGGTGACCATTGGCTTAGAAGGAGGCAGCAAAATTTAGAAACCCCTGATAGATGGCTAATGCAAAATTCTCAGTTTATGGTATGTTATTTGTAAGCATAATCTTGTTAGGGCTACGGTTGCAGCTCTGTTCTGATTTGGGTGATCGTCATGGTGATGTGTTGGACTATATGGTTCTGATAAGGGAATTTTAAGCCTCACAATGGAACCAGGTTTATACTTTGAGGAAGGCTGTGAGAGGTAACTTGTATTGCTTATTAGCTTGGACGTTTTCATTACAAGCGTCCCTGTGAAGTTATTTTAAGCTGGTCATCCTGTGATTTGTTCTAACATCACAGGGTCTGTTCTGTGGCTTGCAGTGCTAAATAATGGAAGCTTATTAGCCCCACTTAGCATCACACTATGTATCCAAATCACAATGCATTAGCTCCAATTACATTTGGATGTGTAAATACAATTCCTATAAATATTTAACGAAGTCGTGATTCTTTTATCCTTGTTTAGCCACCACATGCTGTCTTAAGATATGGTGTATATAATGAGACTCTGACTATTCCAGAAGTTTCTGAAGACCAGACTAAAGCCACGGTGCCGCGGAAGGCCTCCACTCATCCACCCACGATTGAGATGGTGAAGGAGGCGCTGAAGGAGCTGGACTCTAGGAAAGGCGTTTCTGCTCAGGCTATCCGCACCTTCATCAGAGAAAAACACCCAACAGTGGACGAGACGAGGGTCAAGTTCATGGTCCGTAAAGCTCTCCTTAAAGGTCTAGAGTCGGGTGCTTTTGTGCGACCTGCTAACTCCAGTTCAACTGGAGCCCAGGGCCGCTTCCGGGTAAGGGACTTTCACTTGTCCGTTGCTTTAAAAACCCAGTACTACCACAAATATATACACCGATCAGGCATAACATTATGACCACCTCCTTGTTTCTGCACTCATTGTCCGTTTTATCAGCTCCACTTACTATATAGGGTCACTTTGTAGTTCTACAGTTACAGACTGTAGTCCATCTGTTTCTCTGCATACTTTGTTAGCCCCCTTTTACCCTGTTCTTCAGTGGTCAGAACCCCCATGGACCCTCATAGAGCAGTACTGTTTGGGTGGTGGCTCATTCTCAGCACTGCAGTAACACTGACGTGGTGGTGTGTTAGTGTGTTGTGCTGGTCTGAGTGGATCAGACAGTTTTTTTTTAAACACCTCAGTGTCACTGCTGGACTGAGAATAGTCCACCAACCAAAAATATCCAGCCAAGAGCGTCCTGTGGGCAGCGTCCTGTGACCACTGATGAAGGACTAGAGGATGACCAACACAAACTGTGCAGCAGCAGATGAGCTATCATCTCTGACTTTACGTCTACAAGGTGGAGTGACAAGGTAGGCGTGTCTAATAGAGTGGTCAGTGAGTGGACAGTGTTTAAAAAATCCAGCAGCACTGCTGTCTGATCCACTCGTACCAGTGCAACACTAACACACCACCACCACGTCAGTGTTACTGCAGTGCTGAGAATGACCCACCACCCAAATAGTACCTGCTCTGTGAGGGTCCATGGGGGTCCTGACCACTGAAGAACAGGGTAAAAGGGGGCTAACAAAGTATGCAGAGAAACAGATGGACTACAGTCTGTAACTGTAGAACTACAAAGTTCACCCATATAGTAAGTGGAGCTGATAAAATGGACAGAGTGCAGAAACAAGGTGGTCGTAATGTTATGCCTAATTGGTGTGTATGTAATACGCACACTCTCACATACCCAATTACAAGCATTTGCTTGTGTAAGAAGCTCCTCCCAGATGATCAGTTGTCTGAAGTTTGTAGGTTTTTCACAGGCTAATGTAGCTACTGGTGACTTTAATCAGTGGTCAACAGATTTAATTTGAAGGAAATGCCACAACTTGATTGCTCTAAAGTACTGATGTGTATCTTGGCTGAATGTCCAACACTTGATGTTCTGAATTTGGTCACACTGTCATATTTGGCATTTCTGTTTGGTTGTTAGTCCCATTTTGACCAAAGAACTCTCTGAACTAAAACTTGCTTTTTTAGTGATATTAACAATTTGAGCTCAGACACTCAGAACATTCATACCAACAAAACACTTTAAATACAGACATGAATGGGTTAATATAGTTCATTATAGCCTTAGTGTGCAGCTTTGTTCATCAGTTATTAATAATTAAAGGAATGTTGTTGATGGTCTGCATTAACTGTTGGCTATATCCAGCTGGCAGTTAGAAAGCCTAAAGATGCTAAACCACCCAAGAAGACCAAAGAGGCTAAGGAGAACACTAACCCCAACGTTGGCAAGGCCAAAGCTAAGGATGCAGGTATGACTGCATGACCTTTGCTCATTTACATAAATTTGTCTGCCTTTTGTTGATCACTTATTTTCTGTTCAGGGGCAGAGAAGACAAAGCCTGCAAAGAAAAAGTCTGCAGCAGATGTGAGTGAACTTCAAGAACCTACTAATCACCTTTAGGTCTAATCTTACACCTAAATGAATTAATGTCCCAAAATTGGTGTGAAATGGTTCAGATGTCTTTATAGTGGTGGTGATGGGATCCAAGGGTCGCCATGACTACAACACACTTTATTTACTATGCAAAACCACCAGTGAACCTACATGTGTCTGAGCTTTATACGCAATGATAACGAAGTTTTTCACCTTATGCTCTGCATGTACCCCTCTACTATGAGAAAAATAAACTCTTAACTTGTGGTTTGACATGGTCCATAGACATGGACAAAAGAATAGCATCGCTGAAGTGGTGGCAACCCTGAAGCCCAGATTTTCCCCTTATTCTTGTCAATGGAAAATCTGAGTTTTCTTTGGCTTACAACATCCTGTACCTCTCCACCATGAATGGCTTTTTAAAAGCACTTTTTTGCCAAAATCTTATCTAAAAACTAGCCTTGTCTCAATTATGTAATGGCCTAATCACAATTCTTTGAAATTATAGCAATTATTCAGGACCTCAGCTTTCCACATTTATTTCTGCAACAAGCAGAACGTGAACTGTAGTGACTTGAAGTTTAAATAAGAAGCATTCACTGATGTCATTGAGTTGAGGCTTGTGAAAGTTCTAACTTGGTCCTCTGACAAGTTTACAGGGTGACGCTGGATAATGTTGGTGTATTTGTTAGCCATGTAGTGAGTTCTGATGTCTATTTTTTTTATTTATTTTTTTTGGCCTGTTCACTCTTGTAACTTAGCTTGACTACACATTGTGATTCTGTAGACACTTGAGTATTTGGGTGTGTACAACAGTAGTGTATCATTTCAACAGTACAATAAATTTTAGCAACTAATCAAACAGCTCATGCAAGATGGCTAATCGGCTTTTACTTTAATTATTGCACTTAATAAACAAGACAACTAAATCACAACGTAAATGTCTCAAACATCAGGCAGTGAATTCATAACCATTTCATGTAGTAACTTTCTGTGAGGGAGCTTTTAGAGGTGGACGTCTGGTTCCTATCACCACCATTGTGAACAGTTGAGTTTCTCTAGAACAGTGTTTCACACCAAACCACTCTGAATAACTGTTTACATCTTTGTTTAATTGTAGAAATTAGTCTTGTGTTTGGTCTTTATTCCCTTTGTAACTGCAGTGCCACTGATTGTCCATTCATGCTTCATAGTAAAATTGCACCAAAGTAGCTGTTATAGTTAATTAATTTTGGGAAATGCTAATTTGTCAGGCTGAGGCTGCTAGTACCTTCATAGTTTGTCATAGTTACACTAATGAGCTTAAACTGCAGCTTCAAATTTAGTCAATGAATCAGAAAACTAGGCTAGCTCACTCTGTTGATCAGTGAGGGTGGCAGTGGGGGTTTAGTGTTTATTGGGTAAATTTATCTCCATGCCTGATGGTGCATGATGTAATCAAATGTTTAAAGGCGGTTCAAAAGTATTTACATTTTGATGGAAGATTAAGGGTGTGCTCGCACTACGCCTGGTTGCCTTGCACCGTGCCCAAGCATGATTGCCCACCCCCCCTCCCTACCTCACCGCTGGCCTGAGCTCACGTTGCACTTAAGTGTGCTTGGGTCTGAAATGTTATGTCATGAGTTTGTGTTGGAGAAAAGTGCAGCTGATGTTGAAGGGAGTTTGCAGCTTTACACTGGTCAACAAACTGGACTTTCAACTGGTCAAACATGCTCAGGCACAGTACTGATCACCTAGTGCAGGGGTCAGCAACATGCGGCTCTTGTACTGCCCTGTTGTGGCCCCACAGCAGAATTAGAATTGTAGGTAAAAATAAAAATCCTCCTTTACAGTTAATAAATAATAAATGGGTTTAATGCTGGAGTTGATTTAGAACAGCTTATTCACCCTTTAACACTGAAGATCAGCACAGACTGCTGGTCACTATAGCAACACAGACAAGTCTCTCCTAGCTAATGGCTCACAAAGACAAATTTAAGACTAACATCGATAACTTTGAGACGAATGGACTTCAGCACGCCAGCTGGCTTCCTGATACATTTAATCTGCGATGAGAAACTGACACTAAAGTCACAAGACTGAAGTCGGTTTCTCGTTCTCTAGCTTCTCGTTGGAATTTCTGTTCCACCTTAAGGTGGAACGGGAAATGAGAAGTGACTCCAGCCTCAAAGTCAAATGCCGACTTTTGTTTGTTTGTTTGTGGAAAAGTTTCCTGCTGGAGATGTGAGAAAAGCAGCTATAGCTGAGCTAAAGCTTAAAGCAGAGCAAAGTCTTTGTTTTATTTTAGTGTAGGCTAGCACATACCAGGAAAAATGCTGTGGCTCCCAAAAGCGGTTTGACTTTTGTTGAAAGGACAAAATGACATTTGGGTTATGACCCCTGGTCTAGTGAGTGCACCCCAAGAAAACATGAATTTGTCTTGAATGAATTGAACTTCCTGTAATAAAGGACAAACCTAGATTTAAAAGGGTCCCTTTGGAGGTTCACTGACTTGTATAAAGCTATAGCTGTTTTATAAACACGTCCTCTGTCCATTCACAGCTTGCTTGACAATAAACGAAGTCTGTCTCTCACAGGGGGACAAACCTAAGAAACCCAAGAAAGATGCTTCGGCTTCAAAAGTGGCTCCAGCAAAGAAACCCAAGGCCAAGCAAGCTGCCAGTAATGCAGAAGAGCCAGAACCTAAAGCTCAAACCTCAAAGAGCGAGGGAGCAGAGTCGGGGAAAACCGCAGCGAAGAAAGCAGGAAAGAAAGGGGCCCAGAAAGCTGAGGAAGGAGGAAACGAGGGAGCGGAAGTGGCAGCAGCACCAAAGAAAGGGAAGAAAGCAGCTCAGAAAACGGAAGATGGAGAGAAGAAAGCGAATGATGGAGGAGATGAAGGTAGCGCTGCAGCTCCTAAAGCCTCGGGGAGAAAAGGCAAGAAAGCAGCTGAGAAATGAATAGAAAATTGAAAATTTTAACCTCTGCACTTTTATGTATAAACAATAAAGCCTTTTGTACTTATTTTGAAGTGGCTTGGTTTAATTTGTGGCTTCAGTTCAGCTGTAGATTGGGTTTATCAAGTGTACAGTTGATAAAGTAGTTTTAGTTGGACAGGAAAGCAAACTTCAGTCAGGGCCTCTAGTTTTACTCTGGAGCTACAAAGCTAATGTTGCTAACATGCAATGGCAGCTTTTCACCAGAAATCAAATTAGCATAGCTAAGAAGGGCTGCAACCATTTCAAATGGGACATGGTTCTGCAGTGGGATGTGCAGTTTTCAGTGCTAATTGATTGGTTAAGCTATAAAGCTTCTATTACTTGGTAGCTAAAGAAGCTTCAGTCACAACTAATTGACTATTTGGCTCATTGAGTACAACTGGAGTTCTTTTAAAGGCAATAGATCTATAGTCACTTCATATTTAAATTGTGTGGTGAAATGGTTCTTCAGATTGGAGTGTTTATGGTTCTATATAGCACTAAGAACCATAGCATTTTATTGCAAGCTTGACATTCACACTTAAAGATGGTTCTTCAAGGGTTCTTTTGTAAAGCTTTTCTATATAGAACCATGAACACAAAACCCTATGCATGATTAAAGGGTTCTTCAGATTGGTGTAGTGTGCTGAAGATTGGTTTTGTATAGAACCTTTTTTTAAATGGGTTCTGCTGACGTTACAGTCTTGTATTGTAACAACGGCAGAAACCTTTTCAAAAAGGTTTTAATCATGCAAAGGATTCTTTGGGTGTTCATGGTTCTGTGTAGAACCACTTCCATTGCTAAAGAACAATCTTTTGAGTAGACAGAAAAACCTTTTTCATAAAGGTTCTATATAGAACCATCTACAGCACATTCTCCACCAACCTGAACCTTTTAATCAAAGGGTTCTTTGAGTGTTCCTGGTTCTATGTGTAACCACTTTGTTTTGCTAAAGAACCATCTTTTTTAAGAGTGAACAGAACCCTTTTGGTGCTATATAGAACTGTTTTCAAAAAGGTTCTTTATATACAACATTGTCAATCTGAAGAACCATTTCACCATTTTAAAGGACAAGTTAAGCATGAAATGGTTCTAAATAGGTGGTTCTAAATCCCTTTTCTAAAGCAAATTTGAACCGTCTTTCAGTGTTCGTTTGAGGTAAGAGGGTAAAGTTGTTTTGCTAAACTAACTCACCAGCTTGTGTGCTTTGCTTGTGTACAGTGAGTTGACAGCCTCCACTACAGGTGTGAACTGAGTACAATGCATCTCATCACTGACACCAATTCTGGCGGCCAGGTGTGCATGACGTGCGGGTGCTAAAACCTCAGCAGTGTTGAAGAGCCGCTGTATTCAGCTCCATCATTACACCAGAGGCAAAAGCTGCTGTGTGGCCAGGGGCAGATTTGGTGACCGTGGGGCAAAAGACAGGAACAGGAACCCCTGAATGAGCTGATTTGTAGAGGCTCTGGGCTCCATATCTTGGCAAGTAAAATCATCTTAAATTTAGTCTATACATCTAATTTCTCATTCTCATGAGACTGTTGTAAAGATATTAGATTATTTAACTATTTCTAGAAATTTAACTTTGATGTTAAGTTGGCAACAAACAAAATTATCTGCCGATACGTAGAGAAAGTTTAGTACAGAATAACAAGTGATAAGTAATGTAATCATTACTTTTTTAGAAATGTAACCAGTAACTTGGAGTAAATTACTTTTTTGAGTAACAACATGGCATCGTCCATCATAACCGTGACAGATGGGTGAGGCAGCATTAAAATAACTGAAAATAACAGCAATTTTAAAAATGTATATACATTATATGGAAAAAGTATTAATCTAATAATCATTGAATTCAGGTGTTTCGTTTAGTTTCATTGCCACATGCCATGCTTTGATGGAGTGGTGTAAATCACGCCGCCACTGGACTCTGGAGCAGTGGAAACGTATTCTGTGGAGTGATGAATCAGCTTCTCTATCTGTCAGTCTGATGGACGAGTCTGGGTTTGGCGAATGCCAGGAGAACGTTACCTGCCTGACTGCACTGTGCCAGCTGTAGAGTTTGGTGGAGGAGGGATGATGATATGGGGCTGTTTTTCAGGGGTTGGTCTAGAACCCTCAGTTCCAGTGAAGGGGAATCTTAATGCTTCAGCACCAAGACATTTTGGACAATTATACACTTCCAACTCTGTGTGAACAGTTTGGGGAGGAACCTTTCCTGTTCCAGCATAACTGAGCCCCAGTGCACAAAGCAGCTCCATAAAGGCCTGACTGGGTGAGTTTGGTGTGGAAGAACTTGACTGGCCCTCACAGAGCCCTGACCTCAACCACATCAAACACCTTTGAGATGATCTAGAACAGAGATTGTGAGCCAGACCCTCTCGTCCAACATCAGTGTCTGACCTCACAAATGCTCTTCTGGATGAATGGACAGAAATTCCCACAGACTCTCTCCAACATCTTGTAGAAGCTTCCCAGAAGAGTGGAAGCTGTTAGAGCTGCAAAGGGGGACCAACTCCATATTAATGCCTGTGGATTTAGAATTGGAGTCATAAAAGCTCCTGTAGGTGTGATGTGTAGGTGTATAATTTGTATTTTCGTGGGGCCATTGGATGGGGACCCTACGGGGCTGCCTGCCTTGGCCTAGTGCAAAGACCACCTCTGTTCATTTTTAGCCTTCTTTCCTGTTTGTTTATTAGTTGCGTTAGCAGTTCATGTGATCTAAATGTGTGTAACAGCCTGTACATCAACACCAAGGAGAACTCGTAGTTAAACAAACGCAGCGAGAGGCTGATGTAGTGAATGTGAGTGGTGCCCTTCCTCCAGTCACGACCAGACTGACCACATGTGGTCATTGCAGACACATGAAAAGGCCAGGTGTAAATGGCTATACATCTCACTGTCCACTTATGATCAGAACACTTCACAGAGTGATTCATGGAGTGTTTCCTGGCTAATGTGCTGGTCATAGAGGAGGTTAGTTAATGGAACAGTTCAGCGTAATTTAGCCCTCATCTGAAATGTAGTGGATCAGCTGAGACGTGTTTTGGTGTCTGAAGTTGGCTTCTTTAGTTTTAGCGCTGGAGCTACGAGGCTAATATAGCTACCAAGTGATGGAAGCTCATACCACGACACTTATTGAGTTCAAAATCACTTTATTTGCTAAGTGCACTTGCGTCAACAGGGAATCTGGAACAGTTGCTGATCTCTAACAGCCTTGATTATGTACGGCGGCCCTAAGGTCACATGGTGGTTATTTTTTAACAAGGCGTGGCCACAAATCAATATATTAGGGCCACAATTTACTATACTGAGCCGAGGAATTACTATATTGAGGCCACAATTTACTATACTGAGCCCATAAATTATTATAGTGAGGCCACAATTTACTCTACTGAGCCCATGAATTACTATATTGAGGCCACAATTTACTATACTGAGCCCATAAATTATCATAGTGAGGCCACAATTTACTATACTGAGCCCATGAATTACTATATTGAGTTATGAGAAACTTAACTGATGGCCTCAATATATTAATTCATGGCCATGCCTTATTAAAAAATAACCACCATGTCACGTCAGGAGCTTCATTATTATTGTGGTGTATTCAAGTGGTCAGTTTTATCTGGGGAATAATGAGTTGCCCATGAGTGGGCACCATATTAACAACATTTCAAATCAAATAAGTAAGTCTTGTTTCCACTGTGACACGAATCAGCTGAGTTGTGTTGTCAGTGCCATTTCGGTCCTGGTGAAAGGAAAAGTGAACAGCCGATTAATGAAAAGTAGTCAGTACAAACACTATGAATGTAAAAAAGTGAATTCTGAACGCGGGCAGCATTTTATTCCTGCTACTTTTGAATCGCAAAACACCCACAAAACAGGACAAAACTGATTATGTGGGTTGGTTTTTAGCTGTTTTACAACATCACTGTTTTTTGTTTACTTCCAAGTTCCTCCTCTCAGAAAACTGCCTCTGTATTTGCACTTGAAAGCACCATTATTGGTTACACTAGCTTTTTAACTCCAGTGTAAAACTACAGCGGCGAACTTCAGACCCCGAACATGTTTTGGCTGATCGACTACATTCAGACGGGGGAAGTGCAGATCTGTTTGCCAAACTACTGTTTTAAGTTGGGTTTTGTTACCTTGATACAATCCAGTTCTGATGCCCACACTTGCCATGATTCAAGGCCCAATGCAACATGCTGGTACATGACCGTTTTTGGCTGTTGTTTAAAGGCCGTGATGGAGGATTCCTCTTGTTTTGTTTATAGTGGCAGCTCAGAGAACTCGGTGTCCATTTTACAACATCCCAAAGACAAATCTGCTCTTGTAGGAGGTAAAATTTACTAGTTTGAAGAAAGTTAGACCAATAACAGTGTTTGTCCTACATTAACTGTGAAATTAGGCCTTGAAAAAAGGCTTTGGTTCTGTAGTTCTAGAGAAGTGTGTCTCAGCCCTGATCCTCCCATCACTGAGCTCCTGCTCTTCGCTGACATGGATAATTAACAAGCCCTTCAAGACTGTTAAACGAATAGCTGAGTGAGAGTTTGGAGATAAATCAGATTTAGCGAGGCCAAAGGGGAGAAGGTTTAGCGCTGGTCAGTGTTAGCATACCATGGAGTGGCCTCTGGTTTATGTGCTGGTCATAAAGGGAGGTGGTTAATTGAATAGTATGGCAAAAAAAGCAGATTTATACCATTTTATACTATATCTTATTTGAAATCTAGCCTATCATGGTTGGCTTCTTTCTTTTAGGCTAATTTAGTTAACAGGTAATGAAAGCTTATACCACAACAGTTAGCATGTTGCATGCTAACGTCAGGCCTAAATCATCACATTCTTGCCTCAAACCATCAAGTAAAAAAAGTACACTTGCATTAACAAAGAGTTTGTCTTGAAATAAAAACAGATGCTGATCTCTGATAGACTTGATTAAGTGGTTTCTGACACACTGTTGTCTATAAACATGGACTAAAGCATGGTAGCATAACTAAAAACAGTGGTAGCGACCTGGAAGCCAGAATTTTGGCCATACT